TGAGAGTCGTTGAGGCCACCTGGAGATTCATCTGTGTCCTCAGGGTCAACTGAGTGGTGCAAATGGGCGTGGAGCCTTCTTGGGACTGCTGAAAGGGCTGTGTTGTAGACTGGAGATTGATGATGTTGTATCCCTCCCTCCTCTGTGTCAAAATTGAACAGCCCTCTCTCAACAGACTTGAGAATCTGCCTAATTTTGCGGTCAATTGTGGTCGTAAGTTGAGGACAACATGTAATGCAGAGGTCTACAACCTTTTGGGCACCAGGGACTGGTTCTGTGGAGAGAGGTTTTTCCAAGGACCAGAGAGTGCATGGTTTTGTGTGCTGCCTGCATCCCACGGATAGGGCTTTGCTTGTTTGTGCGGACCGGTTGCTGGCATGTCACAGCCCGGTACCGGTCCACAGACCTGGGGTTGGGGACCCGTGCTATAATGGATGGAACCAAGTTTCTGAACTTTCTGTATCAATCTTCCACATCCTGGTTCCCAGCAAAGGTTTTACTTCTAACCATACACAGCCAATACGAATTTGGTAAAAGCAATCCTAGGTGTGGAAAACAAGATAATTTCTAGTGCTCTATTTCTATGAAGTTCCTATTTCACAGCGAACTAAGAAGCCATCTGAGAATATCCAAAGCATCAAGGCAAGAACTATCTCCATCTGCTTTGAGGGTCTTCTGAAGCTATGTGTCCACCCACACATGTGCAAATGGGTATTTGCCAGGATCTCTAGCAAATCTCTCCAATTGCTTTGCTCAGCCCCCATCCTAGACTTGAACCCATATAATTTACAGCTTACCTTCCTTTCTCAACCAGTAGCAGAACATCTGTTTTTTCTCCATTTTGGACGCAGCTGCTGATCGCTGAAACATGAAAGGCAGAGCCATTTACAAACTTAAACCAGTCGTCTTTTCCTAAGTGCACAAAATCCATAGAAAAGGTATGCTCAATAACAACGGAGCTTGGAAACAATCTATTTTAATAGTGTTGGAAGAAAAATCAGCTCCAGTTCCAAGCCGGGAGAAAGACACTGAAAATAAAATGGAGGCTGGCTGCAGGAAAAAAAGGTCTCTGTTGCTTATTGTCATCTGATTATTCCCAGGCAGCACCTGTTTCTCCTATTTCCCTATGTTAATTCCCCCCATTGTACATCCTATTACCTATTTATTTTAACGGTCATCTTCAGCTCTGATTTCTTACTCCTCTCTGAGTTTGCTTGTTTTCTTGCGGATGTTTCATGACCCAAACTAGGTAACATCCTCACTGTTAGTGACTGACTGACTGACTTGCTAGCACTGATGATGTTACCTAGTTTGGGTCATAAAATGTCTGCAAGAAAACAAGCAAGCTCAGAGAGCACTAAGGACCCCTCATTTCAACCCTGAACTACAAATATTCTCCTTTATTGGCTCTAATTTCTGATGGGCCGATTGTCGTCCCTAACGTTCTGATCCCTGTTGGATGGCTGGGTTGAATTTGGAGAGAAAGATCCTTAAGTTTTAATAAGGGGTCTGGATCTATTCTCAGTTAACATGGATGTCCAATGAAGTACAGGATCTTTCTGATTGATGACCTTGTTGCCATGTGGAAGGTGGAATTCTGGGAAGATAGGATGGGTTTATCAATTGCCTGGTTCAGTCAAGCTTCATAGAACAGGTCCCAAAAGTGCTTTTTCAAGAGGCAATTGGACTTTCTTGTTTTTCTTTGAAGACATTTTCATTTCTTCGGCTCTGAAGAAGAATAGAATAGAATAGAATAGAATAGAATAGAATAGAATAGAACAGAGAAATGAATTAGAATAGAATAGAACAGAACAGAACAGAATAGGTATCTATATAAATAAAAATGTAAATGTTCATTTGTTCAAAATCTTAAATCTCCGAAAGTTCTTCACCAATTGCTTTGAAATTTTGATACAACGTTGCATTCGAATACACGCGTGTTTTTATATACCGGTATTTACTATTATATAGATGTCACACCTGACTGAGCCACAGCAACGCGTGGCCGGGTACAGCTAGTTGAAATATAGAATAGAATAGAATAGAATAGAATAGAATAGAATAGAATAGAATAGAATAACAGAATTGGAAGGTACCTTGGAGGTCATCTAGTCCAACCCCGCACCCCGCCCATGCAGGAGACCCTACACCATTTCTGACAGATGGCAGTCCAGTCTCTTCCTGAAAGCTTCCAGTGATGAATCTCCCACAACTTCTGAAAGCAACTTCTGTTCCACTGGTTGATTGTTCTCACTGTCAGAAAATTTTTCCTTATTTCTAGGTTGAATCTCTCCTTGATCTATTTCTACCCCTTATTCTTTGTCTGGCCTTCAGATGCTTTGGAAAACTGGTTGACCCCTTCCTCTCTGTGACAGCCCCTCAAATATTGGAACACTGCTACCATGTCTCCCCTGGTCCATGTGAAGTTTTCAAACTGCTATGAAATCAATCTAATATATATATATATATATATATATATATATATATATATATATATATATATATATATATATATATATATATATATATATATATATATATATATATATATATATATATATATATATATATATATATATATATATATATAAAGTCTTACTTAATTCCTGGAGCCGCCTTAGATGCATTGAATTCTCTTGTGAATTTTCCAGTTCGAGGTAAAAATACAAGCTGGTCTTCTCTAGAGCAAACCAACCCTTTTTCCAATTATCAAGGTCCTGGCAGTCTTTGTAGAACAGCTGGCCAATAACATCTGTCTCTCTCTCCTGAAGACCTTGGGCCAATTCAGGTACAAAGTGCTATTGCAAACAGAAACAAAAAAAAACAAGACATGGACTTTGTCATTTGTTAGCTAACGTGGTTACATACTTTACTATGTTTAACACAGTTATTTTGCATTTTAAGTTCACTTATTCTCTTTCCTTTGAAATAACGTTCGGGGCACATTACATTACAGACCGGAAGGAAGGAATAGCTTTTGACATTCCTAAACTGAAAAGATAATCAGGCTGGAGATTATCTCCAGATAAGAAAAAGTTTGTTAGTACAAACTGGGGTCTGGTTTAATTTCTTTTTGTGAACTCCAAACACCTTTTTTTTTTCCCTTACAATTTACGCCCCTTCTGACATCAGGCCTCATTTTAATGAATATGTTGTTGTTGTTGTTAGTTGCGAAGTCGTGTCCGACCCATTGCGACCCCATGGACAATGTTTCTCCAGGCCATCCTGTCCTCTACCATCTTCTGGAGTCCATTTAAGCTCACGCCTACTGCTTCAGTGACTCCATCCAGCCACCTCATTCTCTGTCGTCCCCTTCTTCTCTTGCCCTCAGTCTTTCCCAGCATTAGGATCTTCTCCAGTGAGTCCTTCCATCTCATTAGGTGGCCAAAGTACTTGAGTTTCAACTTCAGGATCTGGCCTTCTAAAGAGCAGTCGGGGTTGATCTCCTCTAGGACTGACCGGTTTGATCGCCTTGCAGTCCAGGGGACTCGCAGGAGTCTTCTCCAGCACCATAGTTCAAAGGCCTCAATTCTTTGGCGCTCAGCCTTTCTTATGGTCCAACTTTCACAGCCATGCATTTAATGAACACGGGATGCAAATATGTAACACGTTTGACTACATGTAACTGATTTCCTATGTAAAGGGGTGGTTACTATTATCCTGCCCAATCAACTTTCCTGTTGCGTTTTCTTTGTTGTGTTAACTATAAAAAGAAATGTAAGATTGGGCTTGCGGTTCTCACTCTTCTTTTTCATAGAGAGATCCCATTTTATCAGGGTACCCTAATAAACTGCTTTTAAAGGATCTTCCGATTCGGTTGTTTATTGGGGAAGTAAACCGAGGCAGAACCGAGGGCTAGATTTGGCTATCCGGTGTGACCAAATACTCATTCTTAGAATTAGAAGAATTCAATTTTGTAGCCTTCTTGGACTTTTGAATTAGAATTCTTTGAAACAGAAAAGTCAGAATTTTGCACAAGAAGGAAAAACATCTACTCTTAAGATGGCTTCTAATAACTCCGGGAGGAGTTCCTTAACTCAAGAATATCAAATCATTTAAAAAAAACAGAATTGTTATTTATGTTTCTTAAAAAGCAACAAGAAACCATCGCCGCTCGTCGAGAAAACAATTTTTACTTCTTTGCGATCTAAATTGGCCTCCCGTTAAAAACCCCCCTTTGTCTTAGGTCTCCTTGTTAAAACAAAAGTGTTTCTCTCCGTTTCTTTTAAAGGTGCCTGTCTTAACTTGAACGGATAATTACAAAAATTACCTTAGCAATTGCCTGCGTCCATTTTCGTTGAGAATGTGCGGTTTCCGCTCCAAAGAGAAATGCACGTTCTGACAGTAAGCAGATTTCAAAGGTAAACATCGCTCTGAAATTGCGGAGGAGAAGAGGAATCAAATCTATTTAGTATTAGCTTCACAAAAGGAAAACAATAAAGTGGTACATTTTATTGTTCTCAGACCTTTATTCCTCTTGTCCTGGAAATGAATCGCAAGAGTTCTTCCCCCCCCCCCCCAAAGTGCTTTATTTGTGTCGGATTTGTTTGGAAGATAATGGGGAATCAATATGCATTTGGTAGTCTAATGAAGAGGAACAGAGGGGGGATAAACTGTACTAGGGAATGAGAGCTAAAATAATGGAACTAAACCAATAATTTGGGCGGGGAAAGAACAATAGTCAACATATTGCCTGATTAAACTGGGACTTTATTTTCAAACTGGAAAAAGAAAAGGTTGAATCGTCTGAATTGCATTTAGCTATGCCTTTAGAACGGAAATGGAAAATACGGTGTCTTCAGTCCACGCACGTGAAAATTCAAACACAAACACACACAAAACAGACCCGTACTACTGCAGAAAGTCTCACTGGCCGATTTAAAGGTCACACGCGCCTTTTTCAGGCACTTGCAAAAGGTGTTCTTGTGTACATAGAAGGGATATCGTGAAAATGCACCTAGAAAAACTAACTTCATCCTATCCTAGTCTTGCCGGTTTTATCCCTAACCTGATTATGTCAGCCAGATGTTTAGACTGGATTGGACATTTTTATTCATGGGTTGAAACCCTCCCGAGGACCTGGAGTAGGCAGAGGTTGTTTTGATGGGGTTATAAGTATAGTTGTAGAGTGTAAGCTATTCTAAATAAAACTGCCTTTTGCAATTGACCGATGGTGATTTTAGTCAATGCCGATAGTGTTCAAGTGGTGCTCCAGAGGTTTTGGGATTGTACCCAAGTCGTTTATCACTACCTTTGCTTTCTTTTATCACAGAAAGGAAGGAAGGAATCTAGCTATATGAATCAGGAAGAAAGGAAGGCAGGGAGGCAGGGAGGCAGGAGGGAGGGAGGGAGGGAGGGAGGGAGGGAGGGAGGAAGGAAGGAAGGAAGGAAGG